AATCTTTCCAGCTCCTCCTCCAACTTCTTTTTCTTGGCGGCTTGCTCCTCCAGTAAGGCCAACTTTTTGGCCTGCTTCACAACTTCCCTCTTCTCCTTCCTGGCCTCCTCCTCATGTTCCTTTGTGTAAGGAGTGGTCTCAGTACCACCCCTCGTCTCAACCCTACACGTCATGGTGTTCCAGAATCCTAGAGTAAAGAGGAGACGCCGGAGGGTCCCCCAAAGGGAGAACCCCACCAGCAAGCCGTACATCAGGTAGTCATCCATGGTGTCAGGTGCACGACAAGGACTGTCCCACTCCTCACCGCGTAGACCTACCCACTTGACTGACTGGCCGACTCTCTAGGGACTACAGGATCCGTGTAGGACCCTGTCAACTATGGTCTCTTGCCTACACCTAATACTACAGCTGTCACTACAGGACTTCAATGCTGATCAGGCGGCATTTAAGGAGATCCCCCGTAACTCCTCAAGAATTATTTAATGTCGCAGACGGGACGACGCGATCAGCAAATCCTCTCAAGACTTAGACAACAGGTTGTGCAGCCCACAACTCGGATTTTCGGCCTACCATGCCACATTGAGCATCCCGCCAGTCTGTACCGGTCTTAGGGAGGGTTTGTCCTCCGGCTCAGTCAGACGTCAGACACGGCCTTTAGCCCTACTTAGTGTGGGTTTGGTCAACACGACGTCATACACGAAGTTCCTATCACCTGGGCAGAAGAGACTCAATGCAGAAAGAAGAGATAGACAGACTCAGCAAGTACCATAGGGTGAGTGTACATACATAGGGCGAGGGGATAGGCTGAAGGCTTGGCGAGAGTATGCCAACTCCAGCTTGGTCAATTTCGTCGTCAACAACTCCAGTCAGCGCTGGGCAACACTTGGTCAACTCACCAATCAACGTCGTGGTCAACGCCAATCAACGCCCTGGTCAACTCCTCGGTCAAAGTCTTGGTCAACGTTGGTCAACCCCTTGGTCAACGCCTTGGTCAACCTTCAACTCGGCTATGGCTGCCGACCCCTTGCTTTCTCACCAACCTTTGATATTCACCTTCTCCCTCCTTCCTTCTTTCTCACTTTCTTCATCCTCCACCCCGACTATGTCTTTCTCCTTCCTCCTTCGTCTCTCCCATCTTCTTCCTCGGCTATGGCTTCTCTCTCCTCTTGGTCTCTCCCTCCTCCTTACACAATCTTCTTCCTTCCTCGTTGACTCCACGTCCGAGCTCGACGGCTATGGCTGCCACTTCCTTCCTTGAACCGCACAACCAATCTTGTCTCTCTCTCTCTCTCTCTCTCTCTCTCTCTCTCTCTCTCTCTCTCTCTCTCTCTCTCTCTCTCTCTCTCTCTCTCGTCGTCTGCTTTGCAGGTACGCAGCACCTCCTTCCGCAATGCAGCTATGGCGGACTCTTCTTCTTCGGCGCACTTCTGCTATGGCGCGTGGAGTAGCGGGAACCAGCCCCGATACCAATGCAATCAGACTCACTTTCTTCTTCATACAACATGCATGCAAACAGATGGCGAAGCACACTGGCGCTGGGTGCCCACACAACTCAGATACAAACTCGCTTCAAGATGGCTATGGCGATTGCACGCCTTCACTTCACTTGTCCACTCAGGGTTTACATCCACTGTTTACACGCACTCGACACTGGACCTCCCTGGATATCCCACACGCCCTCACACTGTACCTCACCCTGAAACACTGTCTCTAACCTAAGGCGGCTATGGCCGCTCGCTACTACTAACACTGGACTCTATCTCCTTCCCTCAGCCCACTTCGACTTCGGGCATCTGCAGACCACCTCGCACAAGTCGCCTGGGCAGCGCTGCCGCACGGCTCACGCAGGAATGAATGAATGGCTGGACGCAACCTCTTGATTTATTCTTCTGTAAGTCGCTGGTCTGCCCTTTTCCACCGGGCCCCTGGTGCACACAGTCCCTCATGGTACTTGCTGACTGTACAAAGTGAGACTGGGATGGGTACTGCTGACTAAGCGAAGTTGGACTCACCACTTGCCCACTTGCCTCTGGTCTGCTGTGAATAACGTGAGAAAAACTAGAAAGGCCACTTCCGTACCTTCCGGAAGTTTGTGGACTTGGCCTTTCAGGACTGTAGCAGCTACGACCTTGACCTTTCAGGACTGTAGCAGCTACGACCTTGACCTTTCAGAATTGCTCCAGCTACGGCCCCTACACAACTATGACAGATGCAGATCCCAGGGCTCGATCCCTAGACCTTACCACAACTATGACAGATGCAGATCCCAGGGCTCGACCCCTATTCTACAGACCTACAGTTCAAGGGCCGACAGCTACACCGACCTACGACAGACAACAACTGACTCCTAAAATGCAGGTCACAGGTTCAAAACACACAGCGGTACTGTACACGGGTGAGGTAAGGTCTAGGGATCGAGCCCTGGGATCTGCATCTGTCACTGCAAAGATGAAAACCGTTTTCAAACAGTTCAAGGGCGTACAAACTGAGGTAGGCCAGTTGACTTTTATTTTTGTTTTCTAATTTTGATTTGGCAAAGAACTTCAACGTGAAACTTTCTGTGTAACATAGATTTTTACGGTTTTTCTGCTTTCTGTTTCTTTTTTCAGGGACCTTCGCTTGCCCTCACCCAGGCAACCAAAGTGACCTGGGATGACCCGTTGGTAGAACAGTTGCTACTTATTTTTAAAACAAAAAAGAAAGCAGCAGTAGTTTATGAGGAGGAGGATGATGATGATGGAGGTGAACAGATGAGAGGAGGAAACACCGTGTGAATCTTGCAGTCTTTTTCTTCTGCTTCTTCTTCTTTGCTGCATTCTGTTCTCATTTGTCACCTCCACTTCTTGTTCTTCTTGATTGGATGGCATTGTCTCAAAGTTGAGTTTTGCATCAAGAATGTGGCAGGATCATAACAGTGCCTTTTATTGCAGGCTGCTCAGGGCACCTAGCCAGGCGCCCAAGTGGACATAACTTTCTTGTTTTCAACCAGTATGGTGGTGTGATTCTCCGATATGAACTTCGTGTATTCTCTATCAATCGAAAATTGGTTTCAATCGCATTTCTGTGAATGATTATTGCTGAAAGTGTTTGAAGTCTGGCAAATTGCAACACTGAAGAGTCCATGTGTGAGTTTACCAAGCCCACTAGTTAGCTCCAGCAACCATGTTCAGACTGAGTACTTGACATCATCACTAGGTTCAGAAAATTGAGATCATCACTGACTTGTAATAAGGACAGCTTGAACGGGGATCCTTCAGCAATTCCTTGCTGCACAATAATGTCACAAAACCCAAGACCAACCACACAGGACACCAACATTGTGATCCATCAACATGTGGAATTGTGGACCATTCCGGAATTTCAGCAAACAGTGAACAGTGGGCCTTTTTCAAATCAAACTTCATGAACCACTACCTGACTTTCATTGACGGCTGACAAGTTGATAACAACAAATGTGAACAAGAATATCATGTTTGCCTGCCCAGCAAGGCAGGCACGCGGGAAACCGTCCAGAAAAACTGGGGGGGTGAAAAGAGGCAAGAATCCAAAATAAACAAGTCCAGAAAAACTGGGCGGATGAAAAGAGAGGCAAGAATCCAAAAAAACAATTACTAAAACAAGTAGCCCCGCTGCAGCTGGACAGTTGGAATGCCGGGAAAGGAGGGGCTTCACACAACACGGGAACGTGAGGAGGCAGCAACGGATAGAGAACATACAAACATGACTGTCCAGAGCAAATGCAGTTGATAGACAAAAGGAAATGAAGAGCGAAACTCGTTTCCAAAAAAAAAGCAGCGTCGGTTTCTCTGTTTTTCGATCCTGATCCCAACTCTCTCTCTCTCTCTCTCTCTCTCTCT